TCCTATACCAAAGCGTTCCAAAACAGCATACATATATTGCCATTCTATCCTGTCAAAGGCCTTCTCTGCGTCCAGCGACAGGATAGCATTGTCTGGAATTTCAGATTTCTCAAAAATTACATTAAACACCCTTCTGATGTTATGAAAACCCTGTCTTCCTTGTACAAAACCATTTTGATCAGGGTGGACCATCATGGGTAAAAGTAGCTCCAACTTCCTAGCTAACACCTTACACAAAATTTTAACATCATTATTAATAAGAGAAATTGGCCTATATGAGCTACATTGAGTTGCATTTTTACCTGGCTTCAGGAGTAGGGAGATGATTGCTGTATTAAGTGAGGGAGGGAGAGATCCTTTACTAAAGGATTCTTGATACATGTCAAGCATAGGAGGTATCAGTTTGGAATGAAAAATTTTATATATTTCAATTGGGATTCCATCAGGCCCCGGGCTCTTACCACCTTTCATACCGGATATAGCCTCAGATAATAATTGTGCATTGAGCTCAAAATCAAGCGATTTTAAGGATTCACTATCTAGGGGAGTAAATTCTAATGAATCCAAGAAAATAGTTTGTGCCTGGGGAGCTAAGTCTGAGTAGTCTGAGCTATACAATTTGTAGTAGAATTTTGAAAACGTGCTGTTTATTTCTTTTAGGTCAGATGTGAGCACCCCTTCAGCTGTTTGAATTGAGTTTATTGCTTTATCTGATTGTTCCTGTTTGATACGCCAAGCCAGCAACTTACTAGCCTTTTCACCCTGTTCAAAATACGATTGTTTATATTTACTCATGTTAATTAGCGCCATCACCTATTATGACAAATGAAAAAAGAGGGGTTGGCAAATGCATGTGTGCTCATTTTTTCAAGTTAGCAGGTTGAAGCATTCCTCAAATAGGAAAAGGCCTTGTGAGGTTTAGAATCACATATATTGAATCTAGAAATTAGTCTCATTTAGCAGTGCTTTACTTTGCAAAATATTTGCGGGTTTAGGTGTGAAATGTTCTGATGAAGGTTGAGACTCACAAACCTTTTCAAGCAATGACTCAGTGGAGCCAAAATAAATTTGAAAATGATAGAAACAAACAACACAACTGACTGCTTCATCAATTACATATCCTGTCATTTTTCTAAGTGCAGTTTTTAAGTGTGCGTGGAGATTTGATTGATGTAATGATTGTGCTCAATTGTTGAGTGTGAGCTTTTCCTCTTTCGACCAATACATCTTCAGATTTTCAAATCCCTGGAAAACCCCCCCCCCACAGACAAAAAAAGAACGGTTTACAGATTATACTTTCTTTCGTTACTTTCTTTCTGAGATGGTAAATAAATTACAGAATTGTTTGACTCTACAATCCTATATTCTGCCCATTGAAACACTGCAAAAAGCTACTTGTAACAGTTAGTTAAGACCAAACTAAATATTTAACTTTTTAGCCTTCTAAATAATGTGTCTCCCAGCTCATCAGGTTGTCCCTCATTTGGAGTGCCACAGAGTTTAATACATGGCATTAAACAGGGATTGAGGATGAAAAGGAATCCTACCTCCCATTGGGAACGTAATGGATGATTATAAGGCATAATCTTAGTAATACAGAAATCCTTTAGTTCCCCACATTATATTTAAGTTACTGTCTGTTAAATATGTTAATCACTTTAGCTATTTTTGTCATGCTTGAGGGTTTTAATTGTCTGAACGAGGTTATAAAATGCATATCTTGCAAATCTAATTTTTTCTTTGAGCTTTTTCTTTTTTTTTTAAACATACACAGTCATATTTCATGCAGCGTGGTATTTTTGTTATATTTGACTTATATGAATTACATTTTAGTATATCATTTGTTGTAAATCACAGGTATGACCTCCCGCCCCCCGCCCACCTCCACCCTTTGCAGAAATTCACAAAACAAACCTGGACGAAGCAAATAACATTCCCGTTCTCTATGTGTGTGCAACTTCATGGGACCTCTGAGGCAAGAAAAAAGGTTAACATGCTGAAAATAAAAGTGAGGTGTATCGCAACATGCACATAAGTCATGCAGTAATGAGGATGTTTTTAATAGATGTAACAATTAGCAAAGTCACTGTGCCAGTAAATCAAAAGGAAGTCCTGAAGCACTGGTTATCCTTTACCCAGGATGCATCGGTGTTCTCCTGGGGTTAAACTCTGAAAGGTCAGACATTGTCTCATTTACTCGTTGTGTAGCTGGGCTCCAAATAAGGGGGACTTACTCCAAACAACATATACTTAAAATTACAGGATTGTTGTTTAAATCACAGCGTGTCAGGCAAATATTCTTAAAAAAAAATGGGCACACATTTAGAAAGGTTACTCTCCCAGAAGCCAGGCTCATTCTGAATTTTGATTAAAAAAACAAAACATGTTTCAGTCGACTTTGAAACATTATACAGAAGTGTTCATCTTGGGATTAATCTAGCAGTTCTCTGTAAAAGTCTGTGATCTTATATTCTACTTAAGTGTGCCAGTGCAATGTATACAAATCTCAACCTTCGTTCATACAAACCTCATGTAAGTGGGTCTTCTTCAGCGGTAAGATTATCTTATGATATATGCCTCAATGAACACCGTGTACAGTATAGTGGGGTTCACATACCCAATATGATAAAGATAGTACTAAACTTCAAGGAAGCCGGCCAACATGAAACTCCAAAGGGAGACAGTATGAGGTGCATACAGGACTATTAGCCCTCAGTAACACAGTGATGCATTGGCTCCATACTGGCTCCTGTTAACCCTTGAGACTCCAAGCCAATAAATCCTGGTTTAAGGGACCTGGCAACCACAAAGCTCACACAGCAGTTAGTGTCCACTCCTGCATCAACTCCATTACTGTTTCCTGTTGCAGAAAACATGATAACTGATATGATTTTATTGTTGATATTCTAAAAGATGCTTTGCATTTTTAAAAAGTTTGATTTTCTACAATTTTTTGTCCCCTCTAACTTTACTGTTACACTGTCACCAAACCTCACAAGGGTGAGCAAAGATTGTTACAGTCGTTAAGACTGAAAAAATCCAAAAGTTTAGTTTATTTGAATAACACTTTTCCCAGGTTAAAAGTCATAAATCTCTTTACAATAGTATAAGACACAGGCACACACAGCACATAAGAAATGAGTAAAGACAGTGGGGAAATAGCAGCAAATCTAAATGATTGCATACATGGCCAAATATATGAAAATATGAGGAATGTCTTTTGCCGTTACCTGCCAGCATAAAAATTCCTACATGTTGAAAGTGCTGCTCTCCAAAGGACGCGGCGGTAACAGCGCGCAGTAGCAGCAGATGAGACAATTCATCTGGCTAATATTCAAAGCCATCTGAGGGGTTTGTGTTGTGTGTTCTAATGAATAAAACACGATGTTTATCCTTCCTGCTTAACATTAAGTCCCCCTGAACAGTCACAGGGACCAAGAGAATATTTACTTGTGCGGGGACACCAGGGAGTTGGATTATCTGCTGGCGGCTTTGTAGTTTTCTGAAGCTTCCCCGTGTGACATGTTCCAGGGAGAGTGTTCCTATTTACTCTCTGCTCCTGTGTGTATAGCCCTGCTTATTGTTTGTTCTTATGTGCCACCACTCCTGGGGACTGGGCTCCAGGAGAGACGCAGTAATGCTAAAGCTGTGATCAGACATGGGTTTTGAGACCACAGAGTCCAAGAGCGGATGTTGTCACCACAGACTGCTCTGTCAGAGAAAAGGAGAGGGATTTTATTTAGGCATGAACTCGCAGTCATTGAAAAATACATTGTTGCGCAGATGGGTCACCGGCCCCTCACAAGAGCCCCGTGAAGTTTTCGTTTAAACCGAAAGGTGGCGTCATTGGGTTTCCAAACAATACACCCCGACCCGACCCGTGCCATGCTCTTTTCAGGCACGTTCGCCTTCCGTCTCTCAAACATCATGTTCATCTTTTCGGCGTCTATTTTTTGTCATAAACAACTTATTTCCCTCTCAAGTAGAACCATTAAAATGCACTTTTGATGAGCTGCTGCGTAATTACGCGTTTATTCAGGGTGAGAGACCAAAACTGTGCTGCGCGAAACTGAATTTTGGACTGGCTCGGTAATTAACAAATTCCCTATAAAATGATAGACACAACCATCACTCTGAGGCAAAATTTAACACTCGGACTATGTTTCGAGATTACAGCCGGACTCGTAGAAGGCGATTAAAGAGCGAAAATTGTCGTTAGATTTGATATACATATTATCTGTTTATGATAGGAAACAACATTAATTTCTTACTTGTTTCCCTTTGTTTCCCTAAATGTAAAGCATGTAAGTTGTTTGTCCCATCTGCAATCCTCGGAATGTGTATACTATTCCTTGGTTTCCATCCAAGTGACATTTAAAATGAATATTAAGCCTCGCATGTCACTTCGATGAGCTTGGACAGTTCGAAAAACTTTGCTTCTATTATGCTAATTCCATGCCCCGAAAGAGCTGCTCATTGGCTGGGTCTCAGTCAATTTCATATTTCAGTCCTGACGTCAGGGCGCCTATAAAACTAAGCAATGCTTTTTAACTCGTCGACCGACTGATCCCTGAGAAAAAAAAAATCTATCAATCCTTGGGTGGAGTTTTTTTTTTTTTTTTAACCTCATTCTTTACGAGGCAACTGTTTGCCCGGGACACGTGAACCTCCTCAAATTGGCGCACTAATCCTAAAAGGAGCCATGAAGTGTTAAACGGTAGAAACAGAAAGAGCGGCGCTCAGACACCCGCACGCTGGAAGAGAGGGAGGAAACAGCGCTGCTCCAATGCGTCTGTGCTCCACAGACTGAAGAAGAAAAAAAAAAACTTATCGACTCACGAAACCAGAACCCGCGCTGCGCAATTAGTGCAAGAAAATTCACTTTTCCCTTGGTTTTGAAGAAAATAAATAAAGAAATCAAGCTGGCTCAGTGCGTGTCTCAGCAGCCTACTTTGACAGGTGCTCCTCACCCCCTTTGGAGGTCTGTCAACAGCAAGAGGATGGCATCAGAGCTGGCAATGAGCAACTCCGACCTGCCCACCAGTCCCCTGGCCATGGAATATGTTAATGACTTCGATCTGATGAAGTTTGAAGTGAAAAAGGAGCCGGTGGAGCCCGATCGCAGCATCAACCAGTGCAGCCGCCTGGTCGCCGGGGGATCCCTGTCTTCTACCCCGATGAGCACGCCTTGCAGCTCGGTTCCCCCCTCTCCAAGCTTCTCGGCGCCCAGTCCGGGATCAGGGAGCGAACAGAAGGCGCACTTGGAGGATTTCTACTGGATGACCGGGTACCAACAGCAGTTGAACCCCGAAGCTCTGGGCTTTAGCCCGGAGGACGCCGTAGAGGCGCTGATCAGCAGCAGTCACCAGCTCCAGACCTTCGATGGCTATACCAGAGGGCAGCAGTTCGGCGCCGCGGCCGGGGCAGGAGGCGCCATGGCCGGGGAGGAGATGGGATCAGCGGCCGCCGTGGTGTCCGCGGTCATCGCGGCAGCCGCGGCTCAGAACGGCGCTCCCCACCACCACCACCATCACCACCACCACCACCACACAGGGGCACACCATCCCTCCTCCGGGTCCCAGTCCGGCGGCGGTCCGGTGGGGAGCCACCAGCACATGCGCCTGGAGGAGCGCTTCTCGGACGAGCAGCTGGTGACCATGTCGGTGCGGGAACTGAACCGGCAGCTGCGGGGGGTCAGCAAGGAGGAGGTGATCCGGCTCAAACAGAAGAGGAGGACGCTAAAGAACAGAGGCTATGCCCAGTCCTGTCGGTACAAGCGCGTCCAGCAGCGGCACGTCCTGGAGGGGGAGAAGACGCAACTCATGCAGCAGGTGGACCACCTCAAGCAGGAGATCTCCCGGCTGGCCAGGGAGAGGGACGCCTACAAGGAAAAATACGAGAAGCTCATCAGCACCGGCTTCAGAGAAAACGGAGGATCCAGCAGCGACAACAACCCCTCGTCTCCGGAGTTTTTCATGTGAGTCCCGGCGCAGAAAAGTTGTCACTCGCGATCCTCACAAAGGCGCAGAAAAAAAACAACTTTTAGTTGGTGAGCAGCTACGGATAGTTGGTGCGTGCGCGGTCGCAGCTGCTTTGTTCAGGCTGATTAGTTAAAGACAGAAACAGGTTTTCCGCAATTAAAAAAACAACACTTTGTTTAAAAAAATTTTTTTTTATTTCTTGATTTGTTATTTCTCAAAGAAATCTATCTTATATAAACGATTCTGAATATAGCCTCCGCATATATTTCTGAAGGAATTCTGTTCACTTTGCGATTTTCGACCTTACTTAAAAACAATGAACATCTGCAACGATCCATTTAAACCGCCTCCTTTCGCTCATCTTCCATATCATTCCTTCAAACCATAATTTGTTTTCTGAAATTGATTAAATCAGCAAGCCAGTCATATTATTTGCTTTGAATTCACTTTTTCATTTCTTAAAACTTAATTCAGCTTACGCATTTTCATATCATGCTTCTGTGTTGTGAAATGTATTCAAACTCGGCCAGAAGTTTGGATCAGATGTCAAACAGACTTTTGTGGCTGAGGTGAAGCCATGCATGCTGGTCATGTACGGACTGTGTTTCAATTTGTTCTTTTTTTTGTCTTTTCCTTTCTGTGAACTTGTTGTACAGATTAGCAGTAATCATTTTGTACCATTTGTCAAGCATCGTCAACGTTTGGGAATTCTATTTGAAAAAGTACAGAATTTACACGCCACTTTATTCTGTTGAAAGATTACCTCGAGCCTTTCTATATAGTGGCTTCAGTAGGAGCCACGTGGGAGAAACGACTGAAAAAGCAACTTTGTACTTTATATTGATTTATAGTAAAGGCCAACGAGGAAACGACAGATGAATAGCATCTGGATATTTACTAGATTTCTAAAGATTTTTGTCATTAGATATACAAAAAAAAACTTAAATAGAATATGACGATCAACAAGTGGGTCTGAGGATAATGCGGGGGGTTGGTTTGGATGTGTTTCCTGAAATATTGAGGAACACATCCTAATTTGTTTTACTGACTTGTTGGAGCAAACAATCTGTTCTACGATAAGTTTAGCGTTTATATATTTTCTTTTTGTTTGAGGAACTTCGGTTCACTCAGAAGCCCGTGGGTCTCATTCAGGGAATTAACCGAACTGTTTCCAAGTTGAGGTTTGATGTTACCCCCGTTGTGTCGAACACATTCAGCTATTCAGCTCTGAATAGCTCTGGATTTCTGCTCAGGAAATGTGTTGTCTGAACAGAACCGTCAACAGGCACTTCCTGCTCTTTAAAATAAAACCATTCATCAATAAACCTTTATGAATGGAAACAATTTTCTCCTGGTTATGTTTTTTTGTTTGTTTGTTTTGTTCAGTTCTGCATGTTGCTTGTCACTTTGTCTTAGAGGCGACAATACAATGAGTTATAACTATTCCATTCCTGGAAAAAAGTGCTCTAAACCGATCATGCTCCCATTTAATTTTAATATAAAACAACAATAATGTGCGCAACACTACTAATAACAGCTCCAGAATACTGCTCTACCCTGATGCATTAATTCATATGTTTCAATTCGCAATTTTAATTTGACCACCTTTATATCAAAATTATTTGGAAAATTACGGCCTTCACTTGTTGCGTAATTAAAGCCCCAAAAACTCAAATTTTTTCATCGAAGCTTGCACAGAAAATCACACAATAAGGATACATATTTTCACTTTCATGTTCATCCCTGCTTTCTGATATTTGTGTTTAGCAGAAAGGTTGACGTAATGATTTAATTTCGAGGAAAGTCACTCTTTTTTTTTTTTTACTCGCCCACTTGTTGAATATTGTGTGTGGACCCCTTCGGTTTACATCCACCCCTCGAAAATGGTCTTCATCACAAACACGGTGCAAATTCATGTTCGGAAAAAAACAAACAAATATACCCATTTTAGGATTTGACATTTCCAACAAATTTCCCCGCGCCGAAAATCCTTTTTTAAAAGCCAGGACTAAATTAAGCTGCATTTTTTTTTTTACGGTTTTAAAATTTGGACTGGTGTGGCGCGAGTTATTGATGCAGCCTGCACGTTTAGAGATCATTTGATTGATTTGTCGCGTAGAAATGCTAAGTTAAACTCATCGGAGGCCCTCGCAGTGATTTGGTTTTGTGCAGACTGACAGGTTGCTGCAGGCTTTCACGCGCCCGGCGCGCGCTGCGCCACGCGCATCCTAAAACGCACCAGGGCTGAGACCTGTACGGGTCTAGGTTGAACTGCCGCAAGGTGACCGCCGCCACAGAGCATGTGTGTGTGTATGTGTGTGTGTGTGTGTCTGTATGTGTGTGCGTGTGTGTGTGCGTGTGTGTGTCTGTGTAAAGGAGAGACACTTTATCACTTTAACACTGATTCAAGCACTTGTGTGAAAGCTGTATCCCCACTTGTAAAGAACCTGTTATTTTAGAGAGTGTGTTCCACAAACTTCCGCCTGGACAAGTTTTGAATGCAGAGTTGAGGGACTGTACAGGCTGCATTCACTCAGTATCTGACCTGGCCGACGTTTTCACACACACACACGCTGTCACTTGGCTGGTATGGCTGCCATGAACAGCCCAGGGCGAGGGACAAGGCGGGAGGAGAGTATGAGTGTCTCCTGCCTGGAGGAATGATCTTCTCTGTGATTAAAAAGGAGCGAGGGACAGAAAGAGCGAGAGAGAAGCTGGCCGCCTCCCTGCTCCTTTCAAATGATAAACGATCAGAGATGCACCCGAGCTGAGAGGATCGGGCCTTTTAGTGAGCATGTGTCCACTAATTTATAGCCCCCCAATCTGATTAGGTCAATATAGTGAGCTATTTAATTACATTTCTGTTATAACCCTAGAACTAGAGACACTGTAGTTCTTTCATGTCACCTCTTTCTCCCGTTTGGCCATTAGGATCATTTGGAACCTCTCTGGAATTTGCACAGGCCAGTCTTACTCTGAATTAAATGCATTTTTCAGACAGAAGGTCTGTTTTGTGTAGCTGTCTGTACGTTTCCAGTGTTTGTGCTCCATCATTCAAAAAGGATCAAGTGGAAAATTGCTGATCATTGTGGGGGCTGTGGAAATGATGTGGGATGCTTTTGCCTGTCTGTGTTTTGACTTCGACAACACCAAGGGGCAGGAGGATTCAGTAACACTGATTCACTTCCTGTGTTGAAGGAGGACAGAAGGCACAGGAAACAACATTTCAGGGCTTCCTCCTCTTCTCTCAGCACTCTGCGAGAGTCGCCACCTCTTCTGCTTCCTCTAGTTCATTTGCACAGCATGAGAAAGCGAGCATATGCAGAGTAAGGACATGCCGCATTATTAATCTCATCAGTATGAACTGTAATTCTATTCTCCGGCCCGGTATATTGACTTATGAGCTGTGATCATTTGCAGTCTGTCTAATGATTAGGTTATTAAAGATAATGTAGTTGTCTGCTGTCACAATATTGGACTCCCTCTTTCAGGTCAACTATGGGAAATCAGTTTGAAATTTATCAGTATTGACATTTGAATCATCATCACCTTGCTCTAATGTCTCAAAAATGAGTAGGACAAAGGTATATGCGCACTGTTCAGTGTGTTTTTGTTGCGAGCGCTCAATAATCAGCCAGCGCTGTTTTGTATGACCTTGTGGTAGAGGGATTTAGATGTGCAAGTCACTTCATGGTGACACTGACGTATTTGTAATCTTAATCTTCTAAAATAAACATTACGATCTCAACTAGCAGGCGACTGAAGGTGCTGCTTTTTAAGATCAGCTGATCTTTTAGTGAATGTGTAAAACAAATCAAGACATGGCATGAAAAGGGGCTGCCACCCTCAGTATATATATATATGTTGAGCATTATTTTTTCATTAAAAACTATGTAGTGGGGTTAAATTAAAAAGCACGTGTCACATTATGAAAAATATCTTGTAATGTCGGAACTGCAACTTCGAATTTGGAGTGCTTTCGATCTCCGCTAATCCCTTTAAATGCCCTCTTTCTACACAATGAGGCCTCAAAGGGTTAAAAACAAATTCACATTCAAAAGGGGAAACAATTTCAATCTCCTCCACTCAATCTGCATCTGCATCACTCCGCGCGATAAACATTTACATTTAAAGTGATTTAAATCAGCTGCATTTATGTTCCTCTGTGGTCCGTCCATCATCCGGACCGGCGGTGGCAGAGTTCCCCTCCCTCCTCACCCTGTTGTAGTGTCCCCAGTTATGTAATTTATTTGAAACCCTGATAATTTAACTTGTCCCGTCCTGTCACGGTTGTGCATATGCTAAGAATGAAGAAGCTGTAAGGGTCTGTGCCTCCCCTCTAGATGGATCTTAAAGGCCTTTACATTTATTTATTTTTTCTACTGCAAGCAGAGGGATGAGCTGAAGGAAGTGTGATTGTTTGAATTGGAGTTTCTTGTGTTGTGTTGAGATTGCCGTAGGAGAATGTGAATGGAGACGCCGGATCAGATTTGCATTTGCTTGTGCTTGTCACAGAATGCACGACTAAGGGACGATGGATGAAAGCTAATTATGATTTCCTTAAGATGGCATCCCAATACTCCCACTTTCACCTCGACGACAGATGTTATGTTGATGCTTTTTGCAGTGTCATTAGAATCAGGGCTCACATGCATTTGGAGGGGTGTGTTTTGGTCTGCAGCAAATGTGTGGTGGTGCTTCTCAACCGGGTGTAGAAGTGCGACTGTGTGTGTGTGTGTGTGTGTGTGTGCTGAAGTCTACCGGTGTATGAGTTTGTGTTATGCAGGATGGAGCTGGAGCCAAGCCCGACCCCTGTGTGTTTTACCTGCATCTCAATGAAGCCAGAGGTGATTTACCCTTCCACTGCAGTCAGCCTCTCCCTCAGCCAGTCAAACAGACATTGATCTCTCTCCCAGGCAAGGTGACCCATAGTGTTGTTCAGCTCTTCTAAAGTCTCTTCTCTTTCTTTCATTTGTACCTGGATAAGGCCTTGACCCCAG